CCCCATTGGCTGTGGAGCCAAAATAAAGACCAGGCGGGTGGAATAAACCCTTTGGTGAGGATTACGATGCAGTTCACTAGATAGTGGATACAGAAGAAAAAAAAAGCCCTTGCAAATGGCAAAAAACAAACTGCTATTACAAAAAAAACTCTTTTAAAAAAATACTAGCTACTGAGATTGAGATAGGCAGTAAACAGTTTGTATCTGAAGGTCGCTCTCATGGTTTCCCGACTCAGACTGGCGGCGGAGTTGGGCTTCGGCCCGCAGGAGAAAAACGCTGCTTTCACATACCGCTTTAAGAAAAATGCTGGACTGCTCCGACCACTGCATTTACCGCAGAGCTAGAATTTTTTTTTTTCGTAAGCGATGACGTTCTTTCCCGATCGCCTTTAAGAACAGTAATGTTTCCAGGGATATTTGACGTGTTTGCTTTCAGTCAATCAGGTGCAATCTATCTCCAGACACCCGCTTTAAAATTTTTTCTAAATCCAACCACTGAACTGGTCCTTTTCTCCTGATGGGGGACGTGTTGGGCCTTTTCACACACATCCCTAAACTGCAATATTCTTAGTTTTATACACGATAAACTGCCTTTGGCTCTGGGATTGCAGGGACGGCTCAGGCTGTGGAGAGCACCGTGTGGGTGCCCACTCCTCGGCTGCCTCACTCTGGCAGACTTTGGGAGCCTGTGCTCAGCAAAGACTAGTGACTTTGACGGGCAAAATTTACACATATGTACACACACACCCAGAGGCAGCACCTACTCTCTAAGGTTCCCCCACTCACCCATGTGCTGTATATTTGTGAAAAAAATAACCATTTCAAGAAACCAATGAAAATATATTGGAATAAAGATTTAAATACAGGAAAAGAGGGAATTTGAATCTGCCCTCCAAAATTTAAGTGAAATGATTATTTAAAACTGTTTTATGACAACCCTGATGGAGGGATGGTCGATCATGTTTACAACTAAGAAACTGCTGCAAAATCCCAGCCAGGTTTATAGCGGCACATTCCAAATAAGTGATACAGACTTCTCTGGGAAGCCTCGAAAATCAAAATCCACTTTTCTGGAAAATTGGCCTCTTTTGGAACAAAGGCTTCCCCCAGGCTGCTAGGCAGACTAGAGACCTCACCTAGTAGGGAACCAGCGACCACCCCAGGTCTGCCCCAGGGAACAAGCCGGCCGCAGCGACCACGGTTACTGACCACCTCATTGTTTGGAGTGGAAACTTTCTGTTTTCCCCAGTCCCCCCATTCCCCCCCCATCTCCTATCCTAGCACAGCAGGGGGGTGAACCCATTCTCTTAGATGCCCCCCCCCCATTCCTGGCTCATCTCATTCTGAATACTTCTACAAAACCGAAAGATTGCCTTGGGTTTCGAGCGGGCGCAAGGAGCTGAAATCGTCAACTTTTCCACTGAGGCCTCCCCTCTCCAGCCTCAGGGAGCGAGGCCGGGGTAGGTGGGCTGACCACCTATAGCGTCACCCCAGGAGCGCACAAACCCAGCCACTTTCCTCAGCCCTGTTCAAACACCGGCCACCTCCCCACTCCCGCCGCAGCCAGTTCGCAATTGCTAAACTTGTGGCCTCTTACCTTGACACATTTCCGAAATCACTGCCAAGGGACAGCTGGCTTCTCCACGCCAAGACGCCCGCGAGGCCTAGAGAAGGTGCGCTGCTTTACATTACACCACCAACCACTTCTTGCAGGTGAGCACCCCTTGTTGGGTAGGAAAGGGAACGGGACAAGTGAAATAATGTAACGTGCTGCTCTTAGTATCAGAAGCGAACAAAGGCCAGGAATCGCGCTGGGCTCCCCGGCTCGCCGGCGGCTTTGACATTGATCGGAAGTGCGCCCTCTCGTGGCGGCTGCGCGCCTACGCCGGGCCCGAAGTCAGACCCGGGCCGGCCGCGAGCAGCAGGCTCCAGGCAGAGGCCGGCAGGGAATGTGCCCAGCCCGCTGCTAAAGAGATCTCACTTTTACATCTAAGAAATTGCTGCAAAACCCCAGCCGGGTTTATAGCGGCGCATTCCAAATATGCAAATTGGCCGGCCCCGGACGGGTTTACGACCACATTGTCACAGCCGTCGGAGGATGGGCTTTTATAGGGCTCAGAAATCAAACCCGCGCCCGCGCGCCGCCCGCCCGGGAACAGTCCTTCTGGCTAGACTCTCTCTAGCAACTTGCGAGAGACTTTGGTTAATCTTTAACCATCCCAAAGGAAATCTTTCTTTAAACCTTGGGCTTCCCGGCCCCCTCCCCCTCCCTGCCCCTCAGGAGAGTCCTTGTTCACCTCTGTCTATCAACCTAGACGTCCATCTCCAAGGAGTCTGTCCCGCTCCTCTTTGAGCTCCATTTTCCCAGTCCAGCCAGCTAGACAAACACACAAACAAATAAACAAAGCGGGGCCTGGGCCCCTCTCCAGGTTGGATCCTCTCTGCTGCTCTGGCTCTGCCTGGGAGGCCAGGGAGCGGGTGGGGTGGGGGTGGGTTGGAAACAAAAGGCTCTGGCCCCTCCGCCCTGCCCCTCAAGGTTATGGGTGAGGTCCAACTTTAAGGCAGAAGTTCAAAGGCAGGAAACAAAGAGGAAACCGGCATCTTTCTTTCCCCAAAGGGAAAGGGCGGTGTCAGCTGGGAGCTGGGGAGAAAGCACCCTTAGAGACTCCCGAGCGTCTGCTCTGTCTTTGTACCCAGACCAGTCTCCCTCTTGCTGAAGGGTTCCCCAGGGCACCCTAGAGTGGCTCCACTTCAGTCCTTCTAGTCCTGAGGTGAGGGAGCTCAGCCTGGGATCAGATCCACTCACCACCTAAGGCCCAAGGTTTTCTCCCAGGGCTGCCTCAGTCAGAGGATGAAACCCATATGCCAAGTCCTGAGATACCCATTTCCTGGGACCACCCCATTTCCCCCAAAGGACGTGGCCAGTCACCTTGGCTTCCTAACCCTGGCTTCCAGTGGAATTAAATCCTAAGTCACCTCCCCACCCCCTCGGGGGGCCTGGTAACTTGCCCCTTTCCTGTTGTGTGTAGGGGGGTGATGGGGTAGACATTTGGCAGTAAAAGGTGAGCAAGGAGAGAAATGTCACACCAGGACCCAATACTCAAGTTTCCACAGTCTTTATTTTCCTTGTGCCCTGTCGCTTGTATACATGCTGCGACATCCGCGGTGGGTGAGAACAGAGGACAGGCCAACACTCCAGTTACAAACAGAGCCACCAGACGCTTCTTAGCACAGGGAGGCAGATTCAATGGGAGGGGGCCTGGCTTTCTCAGCTGAGGTCCCCAGACACTGTTGGGCAGAACCACCACAGAGAAGACCCCCAACGCTTTCAAAATATTGCAAGAAATTAAAAAGACCATTCCCGGCACCCTTCCTGCCCCCTCTAACACCTCAAAGGAAATCAACTAATGGCAAAAAAAAAAAAAAAAAAAAAAAAANTGCTAAAGAGAACTGCAAATACCATAAAAACCTACCTGGGAGGAAATACCTAGTTTCTCTTTTTTCAGTCTGGTGACTGTGACAAGTACCAGATGTCAGAAGAATAGGTCATTGCTTTAAAAAACAAACCAACCCCTAAACATCCGTGTATACATGTCTTAGAGACTTTGTTAAATAGATTTATCACCAAGCCAAAAAAAAAAAAAAAAAAAAAAAAAAAAGTATTCAAACAAAATAGGTTATGGTTTCTTTATTTACAAGTCTTCTGAACACCATCCCTGTATGAAGCGTACATTCAAATATTCTTAACAGTGAGTGAGTTTAACCGTGGAACACTGTAAACAGATAGAGCCTTTAAATATTTCTTCATCATCTTTCCCCCCCTCTACATTGCATCTTTTAAAATTCGCTTTGGTTCCTGCAGGGAAATATATATATAATATAATATTTATCTTTTAAAATAATTCCAAATCACTCTTGAGCTCTTGGAAGGTCGCTGGAAGCTTCCAAGCTCAGTTCTGGGGCGTTGAAGGGTCGAGTGTGGCGCTGGAACCGGGTGTTTTGGGGAACTTGCGCCCCTCAGAGCTGAGGACCGCTGGCTAGGCCTGCTCCTCCGCTGAGCAAATCCAAGCTTCCATTAAGTGTGGCAGAGGTTTTGCCAAGCTGCCGCGCTCCACAGGCATTTCCTGCAGAGATCTAGGGGCCAGCGGCCTGGGGGCAGCCTCTTTGCTTTTTGATGCCTTCCACCTTGGGGAGTAGTCTACTCTGCAACCAGGCTTTAGGCCTGCCCGAGTGCAGACCAGGGCGAAGACCCTCATCCATCGGGAAAACTGGGTGGGCTGCAGGAGGCAAATGCTAAGCAGCTCAGGACGGAGACAGTGCGGTGAGTGGCTAGGAGGAGAGGAGAGCCACTAATGCCACTTGGAATAGGAGGGTTTCTTAATTTCCCCTCAAGGATCAGCACCCCTCTCCCAAATCCTATGCACCGCCTAGTCCAGTCGTCTTTCACATTGGCTTTGGAAAGCAGCCCCATTCTGGGCATCTAGGAATCCTCCCCTCTCCTCCTGCTCCTGTCCCCAAGCTGAACTAGGTTTGGAGATTGAATAGCTTCTTGATGCAGGGGTCCTGGGGGGTGGGGTGGGCAGGCTCCAAGTGGAGGGTCCTGGGTGGGGGTCGATCTCCAGGGGGCCTGGCAGAGGGCCCAGTCCCTGATGGAGACCACACTCAGCCTGAAGCTCCGCAGTCACCAAGAATGAACCACCAGGGGTCCCAAACCATTCATTCTAGTTGGTGCACAATTCTCCGAATCCAATTATTGTTAGGAACCTTAACCACGGATGCCCAAGAGAGTCCCGGGCCACCTCCTTCGGGGCTATCTCCCTGTAGTGGCCCCTCTCTTGCACACCTCCTTTCTTCAAAAGTCACCCTGTGCCTTGACCTTGTCAAGGGCAAAATCTGCGTATAATCTCATGTGTATGAAGCCCCCCACCCAGTTCCAGCTGGCTGGAACCTTAGAGGAGCGGGTTGGCAGAGTAATACTGTAACCGGTCTCTGTTAATTTTTTTTTCCTTCATTCTTCTGTTTTGAAACCAGATTTTGACTTGACGATCGGTGAGGTTGAGCATACGAGACAGCTGCAGACGCTTCTCTTTGTTGATGTACACGCTGAAGAAGAACTCCCGCTCCAGCTCCCGGATCTGGTACTTGGTGTAGGGGCAACGCTTTTTTCGGGTGCGTTGGCCACCTGTGGAGGGAGGGGGGGGCAGCAGTGAGCCAGGTGTGGGGGCTCAGCCCATCCCAGGGCCCCAAGTGGAGGAGAGGGGCTGGCCCCAGGGACTGGAGGCCCTGCCCAAGCCCCATCGGGGTCTCCCCAGGCCCCTACCTTCAGGCTCCTGCTGTGGTCTGGACACAGGCTGCAGGCGGAGGCTCAGCCCCGATAAAAGCCAGCTCCCTAGACAGGCCCCCAGGGAGCTGCTCAAGCCGCCTCCAGAGCAGAAAGGAGGGCTCCTCGCAGCAACAGGCGAGTTTGGGCCCGGAGGCCGCTTTGAAAGCGGCCGGGTGGGTGTTGCCGGCTGCCTCCAGCCTGGCCAGACTAAACAAACAGCCACCCGAGGACATTTCACCTTCCAGCACCTGGCGACCGGGTCCGAGGCAGTAAAGGCGGCCGGGCCCCAGCCTTCCCCCTCCTTAACATCTGGGGCAGCTGCCGGCTCTTTGTCAGCCTGAGTCCTGGCCATCAGCTCCTGCCTCCTTGGCCAGCCTCCTGCCTCCTGAGAGGTCAGGACATGGCCGTGGAAGCCCCCCTACCCTGGGCCTTCCCTGGGCACCCAGTCGGCCCAGCCACGGTGGTCCCCCTAGGGCAGGGCCGCTTGCTCAGACAGGGTGCAGGGAAGAGGGGTCTCCCAAAGCCCCGGGCCCGCTCCACTCGCTCCCCCCTTTGGATAAAACTCCACCAGACCTACAGAAAAGAAAGAAACAAAAAAGCCACCCCGTTTCTTTGACAGGCTCACAATTGTGAGCAACACGCGGTTGGACAGAGGCCGCACCTAATTGCCACCGCGCCGGAGGAACGTGGCTTCCTTTGGACCAAAAAAAAAAAAAAAAA